CAACCCCGCGGGGCTGGCTGGACACGGTTACGCACCGCTGACGTCCAACTGGCCCTTCCTCCGCTATCCTCCTCAAGCGCGCGCTCTGGAAACTGCACTGTTAAAAATTTCTTGGGATTTCCCGAAGATTCACTCTAAACTACTTCTAGAAATTCCCAGAGGACTCCGTTCCTAAATTTTATGTCCTAAAACACCTGGTAAAGGTAGCAGGTTTTTAATCGTGTATGTGTGTCGAAGCCAAACTCGTCACGTGAAATCTACGGAGTCCTTTGGTAAATCCCAAAGAACTTTGGCAATATTTTTCACGAGTGTTCCTCCGTGAAATCCCAGAAATTTTTCTAACAGTGTGTTTCTCCACTGGATGGAGGTCCTCGCCGTCTCGCATACGCTGAATGCGTGGAATTTTATGAATTCTGTACGCGTGGTGACAAATGACGCCGCGACCTGTTTCAAACCTAGGTGAATGCTGTACGCTATGCCACTGTGGTTGGTCGCCATACAAAGCGCACCGCCATGCTTCGCCACGCGACCGTTGTGCGTCCTGGGGGAAAGCAACCGTGTTGAGCACTTGAAAGTGTTTGTAAGTTGAACTGCTCGGTTTACCAGTGTGATGTGGAGGTTAGAGTTGTGTGCAGTGTTCAGGTTGACTAGAGAACAAGTGGTGGAGCTGCTGCCAAGCCGAGGAGCCATTTCGTCCGGACCGCTCGCGCAACACGCCGGTAGCAGAGCGGGAGGTTCCTTCCGAAGCGGCGAGAAAAAAAAGAAGAATAGTTGGAATCGGACGAGAGAAGGCGTTGGCGCGTGTAGTAGTAGTAGCAATATACCCCCTCTCTTTTTACACACACTCGTGTAGTTTCCGCCTTTCTGCCGGTTTTTGCGGATGAGGCTGTTTATCAACGGGGACCTGCCAGCCTGCTGGAACTTCGAGCTGCTCACACGTTTTTGCGTTGCCCGCATTCTCATTAGATCAGCAAACGATAGCAGTATTAATTTGCAACACTTAGTTCGGAATGACTGTACTCTGATATCTGCAGTTTGTTAAACGGGCAAGCACTTACAACATTTTAACACCTTGGAGGTGTATGATCGGTGATTAAAATAGCTAGTTTACCGCGCAGTTATAGATTCGAACCAAGTGTTCGATTTGTCAGACCAAAAATCGCCAGTGTTGGAATTTCCATTCCACACCAGCAAGTAACACTTGCAAGTGCTTGTCATTTGCCAGCAAATGATCACTGTAACTCTAAAACGAATACATTCTTGAACTAATTGAAATGATCAGTTTCGGCACCTTTCACCACAGGTGGCAATGGTCGCTCAACCTTCTCATGGTCGCCGCTCTTTTGTTTACATTTGTTGTCAAGGGGGACCGACCCGTGGCCCGTGCCCGGCTCCTTCCTGACGCCAGTTTCACTCAGTTTCACAAAGGTTTCTAGGATGCGCGTTTCACTATCTCACTCGCGGCGGGACGGCGGCCGGGGCGGCAGCAGCCAGGCCAAGGCTCGTGCGCCCGGCCGTGCCCGGCGCCGCGCCGCACCTCGCCACGCCCAGCGGAAGGACGTGCAACTAGGGCATGTTGCTGGTGGTGGAGCAGCTCCACGAGCCGCCGGCCCAGTGTAGTCTGGTGCGGGCGCGCCGCGCGGGCGCAGCGGGCGCAGCGTGACCAAGGTCAGGCACACTGCCCTACACCGCTGCCCCCAAACCACGTCGGTGAGGGGCGCGCGAGGGGAACCCGCCCAGGTGCCCAGGTACCGGGCGCGTCTGTTAAATGCGCTCCAGTGTTGCGGGACTGCATCCTCGTGGCGGACTCACCTCACCTCACAGGGGCCATGAGCACCGCGCGCTGTTTAATCCTTGTGATACTAAGCATTTGCTTTGTAATTGAAAGCATTTGCTGCACCCTGGACAATTCATCCAATTCATGCAACGACTCTATGAGTACCAATTATTTTAACAACCGCCCGTCTCACAAGCTTGAAACAGACGAGGAATAAAGGGACACTCGAGCACCCTGTCTCCCCTGGTCCCGGCTGAACCACCGCGCCCCGCACCCGACTGACCCTTGTGCAGATCTCTGCAGGCCGCACTCACCTCCCGCCAGGTTCCTAGTTTGTATGCGCGACGCAGTGCTGCGCCGTGGTGGCGGCCGCTACCCCGCGCTCAGGTTTCT